AGGCCCAGAGGATTTGGGTGCCTTTGCTCCTGGAACTGGAGCTGGTAGTGCATGTACCTGGATATTTGAACAAGCACTGGCAGCAGTTCCACTGCAGATGCTGCTTTCAGACTGAGCTGGCTGTGGAACAACTGTAGTCAGAACCTGTGAGCCCTCCTTGTTGCAAAGTGGCCTGCATGTAGCTTAAAATTTTATGTGCTGGGCTATGTTCCCATATTTATCAAGCCATTTAACTTTGTGATTTGTTTGCCGTTGGGCTCCTTGGGCGTGATCTTGCAGGCTATGCTAGTAAAAAGGGCAATAGCAGGTGATAACATGTCAGCATGTACTCATTGAATGTGCATTTAAATGTTAGGATATTCTCAGACAGGGTTTTGGCACTCTGCCATGAACACCTATTTAGAGCTAAAGTTCATTCACTGAACCAAAATAAAAGCAATAGATGTTTGTGAGAATGGAGCAGTATCACAAATGGCACCATTCCTGGTAGGAATAGCAGCAGGTGGTGATAGTACTCAAGGTTTTCAATTTAATCTCAGATTATTCTTCTCATGAAGTAAACTGTCAAGTTCAGACTAACTTCAAAAAAGCAAAAAGTACTTTTAGTTACTGCCCTCACTTGGTTGACTGTTTTTGTGGGTTCAGTTAAATTTTCTTACTTTAACCATTTTGACCAAGCATTACTGATTCTCAGATTTATTACGTCTAGAGCTGGCATTAATCAACTTTTGCTTGCTTTTGTTTTCTGTCTGTAGAAAGCTTTCTCTTTTGCGGATGAAGATGAAGCCAAGGCTGCAAACGACTGTCTCCTGGTTTATTCCCAGGGAGAGTCAGAGTCCCCCCATGGCTCCATCGGCTGCTGCAGCTTTATTGAGGGTGATCTTGACGACCACTTCCTTGATGATTTAGGAGACAAATTTAAGACTCTAGCAGAAATATGCATAGGCAGACAGATCAACATGAAAGACAGTAGCTACAGGAATGAATCAGGTTTCGGTCTTCACGACGCAAAGTCACGGTTCTTAGATCAGCAAAACGCTTCCAGCTCTGAACAAGCCTTTCCCTCGGGCAGCCACTTCCAGTCTGCCTCACTGGTGCACACAGCTGGTGGCACAGGAGAAGGCACCTTGTCCAAGGAGGTGGTCACGGAAACAACCTACTCATCCCACTCTAGCCAGCACGATGCCCGGCCCCTTCCCACTGCCCATGCTGAGGCAAATTTGACTGTAGCAGAGACATCATACTCTGCAGGAGCTTCTGCCCGCTCAGCCGCCACCTTTCTAGAGCCCCAGTTTAAGGAGAACATAGTGGTGACAGAGAGAGTGCTGGCACCTGCATCAAGCTTACAGGCTATGGTGGAAATCCCCAGTTTGCCACATGGAAGTAATGTGGTGGTTACAGAGAGAATGGTGAAGTCAGAGGGTCCCAGGCCAGGAGCCCTGACAGTTCAGGATCTCCCTGACTCCCAGTACGTCGTGGTGAGGGAGCGGGAGAGGGTGCTGGTGCCTGCTGCAGAGCAGGGCTCGCTCAGCTTCCCCGCGTTGGCAGAGGAACGCAGTGTAGCGGTGAGTGAGAGAACGGTGGCAGCCTCAGGGGTGCAGAGCAGAGCTGAACAGGCAGCCGGTGCCATCCCAGGAAGGCAAGGGCACGTGTTGATCACAGATTCCCTGCTCAACCAGGCAGGCTCCAACTTAGAAGGGCCACCTTCTGCCAGCACCACGCTGAGCAAGTCTTCCAGGGTCACCAAATACAGCACGGTACAGTACACATGCTCGTAGCCTGGCCCCGTGCAGGGGAGGTGGTGTCCAGCACCCCTCTCTATGCACACATCTCACCTCAGGCTTTTTCTTGAGACCCAACTTTGCTGGAGCTTTCAGAATGACATGGACTCACTTTCAATAGTTTGTATAAATAAGGATTAGAAGAAGCTAGTAAGGAAATCTGCTGTTGTTCTTAGTCAACATTGGCAGTGATGCTTTTGAAGTGGAAGGATATAGGTAATATATTTTTTCTTTGTTTGCTGTTTTTGTTGTTGCTTTTAATTATTCAGTTACCATGTAACCACAGCTGCATAATTATGGCAAGGCATAAAAAAAGTCTAAAATCTAATGTTGGGTAGTAGTGTGCAAAGCACAAGTTAAGTTTCTGAACTGCATGTTTAGTGTATGTGCTGAAGTCCCTCATACGAGGCAACAGTTCCTTGGGGCATGTTTGCCATCCATTGCCTTGCAGGCCAGGGCAGCTCCCCCTGAGCTGCAGCTGTAGATCTCCACACCATGGTGAATTGCTAAGAAGTTTCTCCTTTATGAGAAGGAGATCACTGGATACCACCTAAGCTGTTATGTCCTAAGGGCAGTGGTGTGTTGATCTCCTGGAGGGATGTCACAATTTCAGGTTATCAGCATTTGTACCTTAAGCAATCAATACTTGTGTATTAGCACAGAGGTTAACGAGAGCAAGTAGCAAAACAAAGCTGAAAAATGCTTTTATTTTTTTAAAAAAATAAATTACTTGGGGTGGGTCTAGGCTGACATGGACAAGCCAAGCATTTGCACTGGCTCCTAATTTGTCCTTCAGAAAAACTACCAAAACTGATCTTAGCTTTAGAGCCAGAGATTCAGTTAGTGACTTTGCTGGCAAAGTTTATGGCCCCTAGACATCTGTAGGACCTGGTTCACAAGTACAGCTAGCCAAGTGATTTTAATTCTGTCTGTGGACTCACAGGTACAAGCATATAAATGCAGAGTGATGAGTGTGTTTGTGTGAGGTTCTGCTGGCTCCAGTACTAGAGCTTGGGTGGCCTCTGTTCTGCTATAGCATGGCAGCTTGCCTAAGCTCTGGCAAGAAAAGAGAAGGGTCCCTATAAATCTGCAACACTTAAAATTATTTCTTATTTCCATGAAGCTTATGTGGCAAAAGCAGAAGAGAGTGCTGCACACTGCTGGACACTAAGTATATCTGCACATGTAAATATTTGTATGCATTTTGAAACATTTTAACATAAATTTTGTAGCCATACACTTCAGGTGTCTTGTCAGAGTAGAAAAAAGTATTTTACATTGGTACTCTATTCATCTCTTACCTGTAAAATCAGCCAGGCTGGCCATATGGTAAAGCAAAGCCCATGCACCTGCAGAGCTTGCTGGTTGCCTCCATCTCTCCTGGAGTTTTCCTGCAGCTGCAGTGTTATGTTTTCCACCGATATGTTTTGCCTTTTACTAGAAATGCTTTCAGTGTATTTGATTTTACTGAAGAGGGTATAAAAGTTGATTCCAAACATAATAATAAAAAAGTAGGAACTATAGCTACTGTCCACAGAATGAGTCTTGACAGCTGGGCCATTACATTTAGTTGAGGAGGAGTGCTTCCAAGCAAATCAAACTACTTAGTTGCATGGACCTGTTGGTTATTTATCTCTTAAACGTCATTTTTAAAGTTTTTGTATTTACTTATAAGCAAGCATGCAGTTTTAAGTGATCACCACTTTTTCCTGCAGTTAGAGAAAGTGAACTTATTTCTGTTTAATGGAGTATTTTGTGGGTTTTATGCAATCTTAAAATAAAGAACTCTACTGTATTTTTTTATTTATTGTGTTTTTTAATTTATTCTTTATTTCCCTGGTGAAAACACTGACTTACCTATTGCAAATGAAAAGTTTAAAGATATAATGAGGATTGGGATTTCCCAGACAGCCTGAAGGAATATCTGAAAGATACAGACGTAATAAAAGTTGGTGTCCTGCTAACTTAAAGATTGTGAAAAAATTCTTCTAGCACACTGAATTCTGTAAGAACTTGATGCAAGACAACAGCAACCCATCTATAGACTTGCTGGGCTTTGAGTCAAACTCATAATCCGTTTATACTTAGTATGGTATAAAATATTGTCTCAATTTTATAGTTGTTAAACCATATAGTTGTTAACATCCAGAAGACAATGTAAGAGTCATTACTGTCACAGAAATCCTGACTTTCCTGTGTATTGTTCATGTGCAAACTTTTATGACATATTTGCTAGTGCTGCAAGAAGTCTATTTGAATAGATTAATGAAGAGTGAATCATTATTTGTCTTAGTCTTGTACCAGGACTTCACAAGCTATCAGCATGTGCTAATGCTGGCAGAACATCCATCAGATTAAACAAGTCACTACTACTGGAGCTGTGTTTTCTAAGTGATGGTGGCTGGTGGGCAGAATGTAGAGACCCAACCTAATGCAAATGCCTGGTTAGCATCTGACTGCTAGATAACCCTGAGAGCAGGACTGCCCCTAGGCATTTATCCTTGTGAGAGGTACCTCGTTCTGACTTCAAAAGTAAAGACAAAGTCTGTAATTTTCTTATCTGAAAGTAACAGAGAACAGTTACCCTGAAATACCAGTGTGACAGGGACTGTATCCACACTGCTCTTCCCTGATGTGTTTTTCCTTCGGATCTTCACTACGTCAGTGCCCACAAATACGAACCACCAGGAGGGCAAGTGGAGCCCCCGTCCTGAGCACCCATGAGACTGTGTTTTCAATGTTGTGCCTTGGCATGTACTGGGAGCCAGGCTAGACTTTGCAAGACAGGATGATCTCTTGCAGGCTCAGTTCTTTCCTGGGCATTTGACCATCATCCACTATCAAAGGCTTAAAGCTTGTCAGGGTTATCAGCAGTAAATCAGTTAAATAAATCAGTTGTTCTCCTGAGGAGAGTGATGGTGTTTATGGCCCTAAGACATCCCAAAAATGTATCACTCCCTCTGTCTCATTGTGATAGCAGCAGAGCTGTGAGCTCTGGTTATCTCCTCGACTGTCTCCTTGTCCCTTCTGGTAGCCTTTGAGCTCCCCGTGAGAAAAAAAAAAAAAAAAGCAGTGAAAACCATCTGCTCTTCCTGCCCTGTGGGTAGGAGAGATGCCCTCTGCCTGACACCAGCACCAACTTTTGAATGCACTCCTTTGGGTGAACCAACCTGGGTCAAAACTGGGAGAGGGGATGGAAATCAGTGGCAAACTCCTTTTGCGCGTGAGGAGGTGAGACTGGGCTGAACAGTTCCCCAGGGGCTCAGGGTGCCACTGAGGTGCAGTTTGTGAACCTATCTTGAAACACACAAATTTGGAAAGTCAGCTTCTGGGCACCTGAGGTTCTGTACGTGCTCAGTGCTTCATGTCAAATTTGCCAGCACGAGCTGAGCTGCAGGACCTGCCAGACCTGATTTTGTTGGCACAAGAAAAAAATGGCTTTTGTTTACCTGGGCCTGTTTAGGCCTCAGCCCAGGAGCCACAGCTTGCAAGCACACATACCTTTCATCGTTGCCTTGAATTGGCTGGGGAAGCCCAGGGAGAGGGGGATTCACATTGTGCAGATGTTCCCTCTAGTTACTTTACTATTTTCTTTTAATTACTGAAACAGGCATACAAAGCGATAGCACTGGTTTTAAAATTGCCCTGAGACTTTATTCCTTATAATGTATAACAAAAGGTATCTCCAGCCAAACGGTGGGAATGCATCCAGAAGGTGCTGGGGATTCACTAGGGGAAAACTCTGGCAAAGACGAGGGGTAATGGGTAAAAGTTAGTCCTGCAGAGAGTCCAGTTGGACACAAGGAAAATTACCCACAATTAGAATCATCAGCCACTAGAATAAACTCGCCAAGGAAGTGGTGGATTCCCCAACACAGCATGCTTTTAAGATTCAGCTGGGCAGGATGCTGGGCCATCTCATCTAGACCATGCTTTAGCTAAGAAAGATTGGACCAGATGATCCTTGAGGTCCCTTCCAACTTGGTGTTCTTTGATTCTGTGATTCAGTTTGTTCTGCAGAGCCCTGAGGCGGGGGAGGAGGGAGTGTTTATAGCCCTCCCACCTCAGCTCCAAGGTGATTTCTGACCTATGATTCAAATGTTTCATCAGAGTAGTTCTCTTAGATCTGTTATCTCTAGCAAATAAAACTTAGGGATGACATATCACCTCCCAGTGATTAAGCAACAACATGGATTGATTCCCTGGCTAATGGTTATCCAGTGTCTTTGGAGTGTGGCTAAAGTTTAAACCCTGGAGGAGCACAGAACTTGAGAGGACAGTGCTGGTACCAACTGACAGTCTCCATCAGGCCTGGAATTCAGCCTCCCAGAGCACCTGACTACCCTTCTCCTGCTAGAGACGGCTATCTGGGAATAGCTGTAGAGCACAGGATGGTTGAGGACACTGACCAGCTAGGAGTAGCCTGGTGGCAGTGACATGGCACTGGGCAGCAGGAGGGCACAGGCTGGGTACCAGGGGCAGGACTGCAATAACTACTCTGGGCAACCTCCAGCCTGGCTGGTTGCCTTGTCTGCCTTCTCCTGATGCCCACACTGGTCAAGCTGGTGTCTACCTTGCTTCCCTTGATTTCTTCCCCTAGTGAAAAACTCCTCTCCAATGTAAGGCAGATTTATTGTTTTCTTTTAGTCTGCAAGCATTACCAACTACTCTTTTTAATCCCTTCTTGAAAAGAAAACTAAAAGCAGAGCTTCCAGGTAGAAGGAATTACGTACTTACGGCATCAGCTTTGAGATGGAGTCGAGTCACATCTCCCAGAAGATGCATTGCACCTGATGTAACTCACATCTGGCAACACACAGCTCATGCTGGCAGAGAGAGACTCGCTCTATGTGCAGGGCCACTCACCATTTTGCCATTTATAATTTAGAATAATATTTATTTTATATATAGAAAAAAAAATAATCATCTGAGTTGCCTTTAAATCTTCAACCCCTCCCATTGTGTTCTCCTCCTTTCAAATCCAAGGAAATTCCTGC